TTAAATTTATGATGAACTGTAATTATTTTCTTTGGCATTTTGCGGAAACGATGTTTATATATAGTTCAATATTATTAAAAATAATTCTAGATGAGTATGTTCCTGGATTGTCTTTACAAGAAGAAAAACTTTTTTTTTATTTACATTTTGAGGAAAATGCATTCTTCATAAAAAATGTTCCTTGTTTTAAAGTGGTTAATCCCGTTTCATTTACATGATATAATATTTTATGTAAACGGAAGGGAGCTGATATGGAAGGTATCCATTTAGAGAAAATTCAAAAAAACATGAAAATATAGTTGAAATTTTGTAAAAATTAAAAAGCGTTTCTACAGTAATATAATTTCGATTTGATTCTTTGATAGATGGTTTAATTAATTATAATTAATGGATTATTAATTTTGATTAACATCATATTTTTTGCTGTTGTTAAAGTATCACATTTTCTGATAACTATTTCCCCTTTCCGTAGCATTTAACTAAATAAATTTTGTGCTTCTGTCACATTTTAAAACAAAACAAAATATGACGTTTTCAAATTTATTATTTTTTAGTATTTAAGATCTTTTGAAAAAAAAAAACAATGTATAATAATTAATAATGATTATATTAAATTATAAAAAAGAATAATATATGTGACAACAAAAACTTGCAGACTTTTTTAGCAAAACACGAGGCTATTAAAAAAATTAACAGTGAAATTAATAGTTTGTAATTTACATAATTAATATCACAGAATAAATTTTAAATTATGATTTCCACCACGAGACATTTATCATTTTTTCTTCTGTATATATACGACCAGACAAAATTGGATTATAACTGTGTTTCATAAACAACATTTTTCTAGAGATTTGTTACCCGGCTAGTTTATATTCATTGCCTCAGATGATATACAGAGTGTTTATCGAATTTAAACGCCAAATTTATTGGAGTGTTTTTGAGATGTTTTTTTTTTCGTGTTTTTTTTTGTGAAAAATCTGTAGTTGAGTATTTCCTGATCAAATTAAGACAAAAATCAGAATGTATAATGGGCATGATTTAAGTATTATTCTACCATTTTGAATATATTTAATGAAATTGTTTCTATCTAAGTAATTAAATTTATATATCTGTTACCACAGTGATATTTTTAGACGTATATGTTAATGTAGCCAATAGCCTACTCAACTAGACGATACTTTCACGTATCCTGCAAAATCGTACCATCGACAGAATGACCAATTGAATTGTCCCAGCTATTTACCGTACCGTTTTGGTATTGGTTAATTAATTTTTAAGGCTCAGCCGAATTTTAGACACGCCTACTTAAGTAAACAATTTGTTTATAACAATTTCTCGACTCATATGAAATAGAAAACCAAATAATTTTTTTTTAAAATACTGTTAAAATTAACAACTTCTTTAATTACGCTTGATAGAACATTTCGGAAATACGGTTTTTAGTTACTTTGAAAGAATTTTGACTAAAAAGATACACCGTATACTCTTATAAACTTTGAATAAGAAGACTAAGGAAGGAGCATATCAAAAATCTTAGGTACACCGCGATGGGCCTCAAATATGGCCGACTTAAATTCCGGTTTATCAGTGTCGTTCTAATTTTATTTAAAAAATGTAAAATTATGATGTAGGATAGACGTGGGGTAGACTCAATAATTTGTTGTTTTATTTTACATTGTGAATAAATGTTGGTAGTTATTAAAATTGTTATAAAAATATATAATTCTAATAAAAATAGATAAGTTATAATAAGTATTTATTAACACAAACATCCGATACGCTACTGAAGCATGTAAGTCAAATTAACGTATCTAAATTCTTTGACATCTAATCTTTGACAAGTAATAAATAAAAGCTAAAAATGCAAGAAAAATATATAATTTAGTTAATTTAAGTGAATTTCATAAATGGTCGGTTTACTACACGTATGTATATTATATAGTCACTTACTAGCGAAAAGTTGTTCCATTATTTCACTCAATTTTTGCCGAGATCTACCTCACGCTACACAACCAACTATTTTAGAGTCTTTTTCGATAAATCGCGATAGTGTCACTGTTAATTTAAGTTCTACCACAATTTCTATCTAGATTTACTACCTTTATACAACTATCAGTAGTAGAATAAATAATAAATAACATAAAATAAGCTCCGTAAAGACTGACAAATCCACAACATTTCAAATCAAATTCAAATGTGTCAAATGAATCGTCAAACAGAACTGTCAAGGATCCCCACCCTAGAGAGCTTTTATGGTGGCTTTTCCGCCCACCATGCATGAATACATGGATAGCATTATGCTCCTTCCTTAATCTTCTTATTCAAAGCTTACAAATAAAATTAATAGAGAAACATCAACAGGCGGGAAGACAAGAAACCTTTTAAACTTTTTGAGTCTTATTTAATCTTTTTGTGCAAAAGTCTCATTAGATTATATTGAGACTTCAAGTCAAACGTTGCAAAAAATTACAAATTTAAATTATTAATTTTCACTAGGCATATACAGGGTGGCGCACCTCATTCGCCTCGGTTGATTATACGAAAACGGCAAGACGTAGAAACTATATGTCAGAACTATAATCCATACCAAAGTTATATTTTTTCTTATGGAACACCCGGTATTTTATTTCATTTTTTCGATTCTTGGACCCAAAAAAAGGAATTTATTATAAGGGATAAATATATGTGGTAAAATCTTTGGTTTTTGAGATATTTAAAGATATTTAAATATGCATGCCACAGTAGAATAGATTATTAACACCCTGTACATTACTTTTCAGAACTAATTTTTGTGCTGAGTTTAAAGGTAGAGAAATAAACTTTACTGAAAAATGTTATTGCTTTATTAAATTTATACAGAGGTACCAAAAATTGCTGATCTATTTTAAGGATATATTTTATATAAAAACTTCGTTATTTCAAATGCAACACCCTGTATTTTTCAAAATAAATCGAACCAGATTCAAATGCTCTTTCAAACTATATTTTCCGTTTCCTATGCCTATCTAACTAAGATTTTGAATAAAAAGCGATTTTTCCAAAAAAAATAGCGATCAAGATGGCTGGTATCGCCATGGTTTGGTTAGGTTAGGTTAGGTTATGATCCTGAATATATTATTTTAATTTTTAACATCTATCAAATAATAATGATTTTCGATAAAATAGTAAAATTATAAAACTAACTAAATATGTATTCTTTCAACAGGTTCTATTGGAGTAATGTTGATGAGTCCAAAGGATTTTTGGAGTGAGAAGTTGAAGTACATTGATGTAAGAAGACTGAAATACTCACTTGATCAGGTTAGTATACAGAATATATTATTATAAACAAAAAATAAAATATTTGAGAGATCTAAGAAAATTTCTTTCGCCAAGTAACTAAATTTAAAGACGATTATGAAAGGGTCCAATTAAAAAATAGCAAGGTTGGAAAAAATCATGATTTTTAAAAAAAAATAAAAAAATCGGATTTTTTTAATTTAAATCAGATTTTTTTGATTTTAACTCAAAACAATATTTAAATCGGATTTCCAAATGACTAGGACTTCCAATTAAAGTCCTATCCTAAATGGCTGAATCTTTATAACTCTGCCCGATACCAATAACATTAACAGTTCTACGGCGCGTGTCACTTTTCCACATTGGTTACTAATATATTTCGCAAAAAAAGTCGCTCGCTTCAGATCAAAAGGATTTTTTTTTCAAACATCTCAAAAATATTAACTTTTGTTATTTTAACGCCTAGGCATAAAAGTAAAGCACTGTTACGCCTAAGCACAAAATATATTATTAAGCTGATATTAATTCAACGAGTGTATAAATTGTCGCACGATTACTGTTCAGATTATTTGCAATGTTTGAAATTGATTAAAAAATTATTTGTAATATTTTAAAAGAAATAGTATGCTCTATTCGGAGTACTTGTTCTATGTACTGTTGTGCCTCCCTATAACGTCGGAATAGTTTTACGATGGTCCTTTGGTCCTTCGTCAAAAGAAGTATAATTTTTACTCCTAATAAAACAATACACTATTGTTCGGAAATAGTCTTAAGTGAAAATGAAATTAGTATGTATTATCTACTGTTAAAGTGTAAAATACTTACTGCAGATCAAAATGTGGGTAGGAATTTGGAAACATACAACCGTTTCAAAAAAAAAAAAAATAAAACAACACATTTTCTGACAACGATTTTAGATTCTCGGGAATGAAGATAGTCTTTATATCAGAAGAACTGCACTAGACTTTGCAAATGATATGTATTCGAACAGCGAATTTTTGTCACTTATACCTATATTTAAAATAAATCCCTGCGTTTAGCGGTCTAATGGATTCACACGAAATTACTTCAAAAATCGGTCCAACATTTAAATTGATGAATAGATATATTTTTATATAGTTTTATAACATTTACAATTATTTTTCGATTTATTATCTGTTATATCTGTTATAGAAATATTTTTTCTAGTTTTCTAGGACACATTTTTATAACTTTTACAGTTATTTTTTGATTTATTATAAAGTTTCAATAAAAATTTTATTTTTTTATTTAAATCATGATTTAAATCATTTGATTTAAATCATGCCAACCCTGAAAAATAATAATTTTTCTCTCTGAAAATTTTAATATTTTAATGAAATTGTTTATCATAAAATGGAATACCTATCTACTCGAATCATCAGATCTTTGTTATAATAACATTTTTTTAATAAATAAATAAGTGCGACCAACCTAGAGCAATTTTTTCTGAACTCGCCACAAATTGTATTTATTAAAAATTCTGAAGCCAGCCCTGTGTTAGGGGTGTTGCTCGGACTAAATGAAGGCACGTGCCGGCACACGACCAAAAAGGCAGGTCAGTCCCATTTCTACCTTTTATCTGGTCTTCGGTAGCTCCACATTACTTCCGGTATACATTCATTGTCTTCCGCAACATTTTTTTCTGTTTCATTTCAGACGCGCTTTTTTATCGGTTTATTTTTTGGTTGCGCGTGAAAAATATTAGTGTTTGGAAGAATGCCAATGAAGAGAAAATATATCAGAAATATGATTGGTGGTTTGGAAATAAATAATTATTGTTTGTTGTTCTAGAAGAAAACAACAAATAATGTAATAAATATATAGGTTCTGAATATGTGAGAAGTTAATTTGTTGTGAATTTATTTTTTTTAAGGTAAGTACTCTGTTGCTTTTTGTTATAATGATTTTTTTCAAACTAAAGTTTTTACATTTTCAAATTGTAAACGAATTTTTAAGTTTTTTTTATTTGATGTTTCTGGCAAAACATGTGAGCGTCGAATTCGAACCACCCTGTACAGAGTGGTTTCTTAAAATTTATTCCATAAAAATAATTGTAGGAAAACCAATACACCTACAAAAACAGTAAATATATGCACATAAGTCTACAGGGTATTTAAAAAAACGTGCCACGTCTCGTGGGGTAATTCCTCACGTAAAAATAAGATTTATTTTTTACATCAACATAGATCCGACTCTGCTTTGTTTCGTACCTACAGGGAGGTAAAATCTTCATTTTTTTTTCTATTTATTAAAATTTTCTTCCAATTGCCTTTAACGATTTGAATAAAATTTTGAGGGCGGTAGTTACTATAAGTGCGACATATTTTAGTGCTAAAAAAGTATCGACATATTCACCAGGGACGTACATATGGGACATCACTGAAATATTTCTTTCAAAAAACATGTGCGCCACTGACTTTTATTTATATTGTTAGCGAAATTGATGAGTTAAACGTAATTTTATTAATTTGCCTTAATTTGGATTAAGAAAGTCAATAATAGCAACCTTTTTTGGTCATTAACTGACCAAATTGTTAGATAAGCACACATTGATTCCCCATCAAAAAATATGAAAAAATGTTCCTACAAAATATGGGAGGTAAAAATGCATAGTTTTAAAAACAGTTTTTTTGTAATTATCTTAAATACCATTATTATTATTTTTTTAATTTGCTGCAGGTTGCTCTGAACATAATTGTTATAAATTTTAATAATGGTAATAAGACAAAAAAAAATAAATTAGATTAAATAAATAATTTATTAATTTAATTTTTATTTTTGTTAATAATTGTTTTTAATGAAATTGCGTCTATCCCATCAAGGAGATCGAAATCAACCAAATATCTAGAGACAAATTTTCATCGGCATCAAACGGCCTACACGATTTTGCTAAGAAGAAAAAAACATGTCAGTGGCGCACTATGCACTTGATTAAAATTTATTGAAATTTATTTCTAGAAAATCTGACTTTTTTCTCGTATGGACGTCATAAAATGCCACTATTCCTCGTTCGAGGACCCAGTTGACACCACAACTGGCTACTACGACGACTATCATCGTCAGGATTTCTATAACAAGTCCGCCATCGACCAGGAACACTATAGAGGCTTCATAAAAGTAGAAGACGCCATCAATTTGAAGGCCCAATCCCAACTAGCGGCTACCACCTCGCCGGATATTTATGATAACAACACTTACGAGTCATTTTTATCCGCTTCCTCGTTAGCCGAAGAAAAAATCAGCTATGGTGAGTACCTAGAGTAATTTTCGTCAATTTAAAAAAAAAATCAACCTTAGAGCGTGAAACATATAGATACTTTTTTTCCTAAAGGTATCTGAAGCCGACATAAAAGATTACACTATTAACCCTAGAAAAATAATATAATTAAAATACTATTTATTTAAGGAACTTCTATGTAGAAAGATCCTCTAGTTTTGGTCTTGTATATTTATTCATCACTATTTTAAATGTTGTTCTAGGAAACATCAATTTCTTCACGCTTCACAAAGATGATGACTTCGACAACAACAACAAAAATTTAAATTTCAAAAGCAGAAAAAAACGAAAACATATCGTCAGAGATAGACCACCGTCTCCTACGATCCTGAAACGAAGAAGACTGGCAGCTAATGCCCGGGAACGAAGAAGAATGAACGGGTAAATTGTTTAAACTCGCTGTACAACTTGTCGTCCGATAAATTGTATGGTCTATGAACATCTTTATGGCATTTTTTTATTTTAGATTGAACGAAGCTTTTGACAGATTAAGGAAGGTGATACCTAGTTTAGATGCTGAGCAAAAACTCAGTAAATTCGAGACACTACAGATGGCTCAGTCATATATTTCAGCTTTGAGGGAACTATTGGAAATGCACAAATAACTACAAAATAAAAGAGAAACTATTTTTTTTCTTAATGTAAACATATCTTCTAGTCTAACTCCAAAAATATTCTAATAGAATGTATATTGTAAATTTATTCAGCCTGCCCTGATCTCTTTATATGCCATTACGCGTTTATTTTACGTTGCGACATATTTGCTGTATGATTTCCGCATTGGATATGCTTAAAATGTATTTATTTTCTATTTGTGAGAGTTATTTTTGTAAATAAATTTTAGAAAACACGTTTCAAAGTTTATTATCCCTAAAATAAAGTCCTTAACCTTTGAAATGAGTGTTTGTTTTGATGAATAATGAATAAATAAATTATTATCCCCCTTTTTCCTTCGTTTCTATAACATTTACCTAGTTTATTATTGAAAAATAGCTTTTAATACTTACAATATGTCGTTAAATTTGGCTCAGTAGTATATAACAGCTGTAAAAAGTATTATTTTTCATAAAAGGGCGATTTTTCAAAAACTGGCGGTAAATTGTTTTCAGCGCTTTTGAGATTTTGTGGGCAACTTAGGAACTAATAAAATTAAGGTAAAGGTACCTGTATTTCAGGTCCTCTCGCCACCTATCGAAGGATTGCCAAACATGACCACCATTTTAAAGCGATCTGTAGTCGTAAGTAGGTGGTGACATCTAACAAAGAAATCTGAAAGCTAACTTGATTTTTGATTAGGAATCTGTAATTTACGGTTCTGCTGACATCTAACAAAAAATTACCAGACTTACGACATTTTTAAAGAAATCTGTAATTTTGAGGTCCAAAAAAGTGTTGAGTCAGAGCCATCTATGCGTAGAAAATAGTATTATTAACGATTTTAACCCTACAAAATCTAAATTTTATTTATTTTTCTTTGAAAATCAAGAAAAATCTAAGAAATTAAAGAAAATCTTTGATTATATGCCTATGCAAGAACATACTAATCACATATTTATGTGTCCCAGCTATAGTTTGAGTATTGTAGTGGTAAGAACAGTTAATATTTCACTATTTGATTTAGCAAAACTTTACCGATGATTGAAAAAACAGTCTAAACAATCTAAGCATGGTCTAAAATGGTCTAAACTATGTATATTAAAACCTAACGAATATGTATTAAAAATAAGTATCCATATAATAATTTGCTTTGTTCTTTGTTTCAGCGAAGTACAGAATCCAAACATCATTCGTCGAAGATTGCAGTAACTTTTTTAAAGATAGCTTGATCAGGCCAATTATATAAGGTAAGTTTTATAATGATACATATTTTGATGAATAATATATACAGGAAAATATATACTGTGTCTGAAATACTCTACAGTAGAGTATAATTTATATAGCAGTAATAAATACAATAGTTTGTAACTATAGTTGATCATTAGTAGATGAAGTAATGTAATATATGCATAACTTATGCATTAAAACTAAGACAAGTCTATAAGTCTATTGCCTAACAATTATCTTAATAGTTATTAAAGCTTTGCTTTATTTTTTCAGATCACAAACCCACATCAACAATGTAAAAATAGAAGATACGACTCTACAAGGTAGGTTTTATAGTTTCATATCAAGCATTTGCCTTTTATATTAACTAAATGTATTTTTTTAGTACTAGTTTCAGCAGAGATTGCAAGATAGGGATGAAGAATTAATAAAACAAATATCAATGTATGTATTATAAAGATTTATTAATTTATTCAAATATTTTCGAGTGCTGCTGCTTCTCTGATATAACTCCCAATCATATATTGTTTTTTAAGATATATTGACCCCCTTGTTGAGATATTGTTAGGTTTGTCTCGACCCCCTACTTTAGTCTGATAAGAAATCTTTCAAAATTTGTATTTTGAATATAAATGCCTTGGATTTATTAAAAAAAACTATAAAAATATCTATTCAGATTTTAATATTTAAAATAATTGTACCAGATTTCGACATATTTTAGTCTGTTATTAATATTTAGTAGAAACATAATAAAAATATTATTTTTCCATGTGAGAAGGAAGTTATACAGAGAATATACTATTTTAAATAACGGTATTTAAAAAAATTACAATATAACTAACAATTATTAAATAAATCATTTTTTATATGTCTGCCCTCAAATTACACTTTGAAAAAAAACTAAAAATTATTCCTTATCAACTACATTCGATGTTCCCATTGAAAAATCTTGTGGAATAGCACCAACATCCCTTAACAATGTTTCTTTGTCCCCAAAATAGTCCCTATACCAATAAATATGCTCCTTTTTCGTCTCTACAGTGATATACGGATTTTTTGACAGGCCCGTACACACTAGTTCCATAAAATGCCTTATGGGGCCTTTAGGGGGACACCATGGCTCTAAATGCTCCTCTAGAAATACGTGATCGGCAAAATATACTTTGGCTTCTTCATCCAGACCTAAAATTGAACGTAGAGTGTTTAAAAAACATGATTATTAGAAAATATATAATATACCTATTTCGTTGTTAATGGGGAATTTCCATATTTTTCCCTGTTCAGTCCACAGGATCATCTCCTGGAAATAATTGGCAGGGGGATGAGTTACGGCAAGTTTAAGATCCTTTTTTGCCAGTTCGCTCCAGGTTTTTAGCTGAGGACCATCCTCAAGTTTGGAGTTATCGTTAAATATACCCAACGATTCGCTCCCAAACAAATCGATCTTTTCAAACACTCTGTAAAATAATAATAAATGTTTTTTGGTAAAAAGTACTTTTATTTTTTCCTAAATGTATAACTGGTAGCATAACTAAAATATGCTCATCCACATAACAGAACTGTAAACGTCAAAATTTTCATAACCCCACTTTGTTTTTGACTTTGACACTTCATCAAAGATAAATATAAAATGAAAATAAATTAATTTATCAAATAACAAAAGGAAATTGGCTAAATTTATCGGAAAATCATGGATCCTGCAGAGGATATGTGTAAAAGTTTGGTGAAATGGCTGCAAAAGATCGTGCCGAACCGTTCGCGAAACGTTTCGGAAATCTGTGATGGAGTTGCTATGACCGAAGCCCTACTTCAAATAGCTCCGACATACTTCGATAAGCTCGAGCCCAAAATTAAGAAGGATGCAGGCTCCAACTGGAGACTGAGGATCAGTAATTTAAAAAAAATATCTGAGGCAGTTATAGAGTATTATCAAGATGTTTTAACTTTACAAGTACTAGAGCTAGGTAAACCAGATGTGACTAAAATCGGCGAGAACAGTGATCTGGTACAACTTGGCAAGCTTCTCAGATTGATTTTGGGTAGATTAATATTGTAAAACACCTTAAGTTCTTTTATATACTGTTATTTTTATAGGTTGTGCAATAAATTGTGATAGAAAACAGGACTACATCACTTTAATCATGGAAATGGAAGAATCTGTCCAAAGAAACATAATGCAAACCATCCAGCAACTTGAAGAAATAACAGGAGGTCCAGGCAGATCAAATTTGAGCCTCCTTATCCTAGACAGCGACACAAGAGTAATGAAACTGGTAGCCGACCTAGAAGCCTCCAACGAAGCTAGAGAAACCCTAGCTCTACAATGCCAAAACCTAGAACACCAAGTACAAACATTAACAGAAGAGAAAAAAGTCCTAGAATCACAGTGTCAAGAGATGCAGGAGAAAGAATTCAAAGGCCCGGATGTACGTAAACAAATAGAAGTCCTGAAAGAAGAAGTATTTAAGGCTGAAGTAATGCGCGACGATTTTAAAGCCAAAGTCGAGGAACAGGAAAAACAGCTGTGGAACTACCAGCAAAAAATACAAGAACTTCAAATTGCCGCTAACGATTCTTCAAGACTAAAAGACGAAGTTGATGCTCTGTCTGAATCGGTTGGTAAAGTAAATGACTTGGAACTTGCTCTGGCTTCTTATAAAAAAAGGCTAGAAAACTATCAAGACCTCAAAAAACAAGCACAAAAGTTTGAAGAGAAAGCCATGGAGTATTTGAGGAAAAACATGGAGATTGAGGAGGAACTTACTAAGAGTCTTAGCTGGAAAAACCAGTGTGAAACTTACAAAACTCAGCTTGTAGAGCTCCAGCAAAAACTGGATGAAGAAACACAGAAAGCTGACAAGACTCAGTTCAATTTTGAGAATTTGGAATCCAAAATGATTGCATTACAAGCTGAAAGAGACAGGTTACTTTTAGAAAGAGACACTTTAAGAGAAGAAAACGAAGAGTTAAAACTAGGTCACGTTAAATCTGAAAGCTCAACAGCAGTTTCTCAAGAACTACTTCCAGCAGATCTAAAAGAACGCCTACGCTTCCTGGAGAGAGAAAACAAAACACTTAAAGCCACCCAACAGGAAATAGACACTAAACAGACCGTCCTAGATCAGGCTGTTAGCCGTGCAGAAAATCTTCAACAGCAAAACAGAACTTTGAACCAGTCAGTATTAAAACTAGAAGCACAACTTGAAGAGCTAAAAAATGCATCAGGAGAACCCTCCAATGGCTCATCTTCAGTCAAAAAGCTTCAAGAGGCTCTTGCGGCCAAAGAACACGAGCTTCAAGTGGCTCAAGCAAAGTACCAGCGTAATTTAGAAAGGGCCAGGGAGGTGGCAGCTCATTTGGATCAGGCTGAGAACCGAAACAGGACTTCCTCGATGGGGGTGCTTGAGGAAAGGTTAGTGGCTGCCGCTTTCTATAAACTAGGAGGTTTACTGCAGAGGGAGGCCGTGGATGAGAGATTGGCCGTGTTGAATGCGCAGGGGCAATCTTTTTTGGCTAGACAGAGGCAGCCGGCACCAAGGAAACCTCAGCCTAGATATAAGTCAAAATAATCCCTTATTTACATTTTGTGTGTAATGTATACCTTAACAAAAAGTATTGTAATATTTAAATCACTAATTTTTAAAGATAAATTTTTATATTAAGCTGTTATTCACCTTATCTTTGAATTAAATTGGTTATGCTAAATTACATAGATGAATTTAAGTATTTTCCTATCAATAAATATAGAACTTTAAATAAAATGTATTACTTACACATCTTCCACAGGTCTGGGTCTAAATTTCTCTCTTGGTGCTACTCTGTGGTCCTTTTGAGGAACCTGTGTTTGTGTACTAATATTCTGAAGTACCCTCCTCACTTGTTCAGCTCTGTTGACTTCTGGTTGTTTTACCTCCCTCTCAATTTTCATTCCTTTGATAATATCACTATAATAAAACAAATAAATCTACGTTTTTTTGTTACAAAATTCTACGTTTTTTTGTTACAATTATATAACAACTAACCTCAGTGTAGTCGCCGATCTTTCAGAATCCAAAGGATTCAAAAGTTTTGTCAGCAATTCAGACTCAATTTTTTTACTGTCACCTTCAATAGACTGAGCCACGTCCTTAACAGCATTTAACACCTGTTTTTCTTCAGACTCTACCTTTTCTTCAGGTTTTCGAGATTTAATTCTCTTATTTGAAGGTTTTGCCAGGTCCAAGCGTTTGGTATAGTCATCCGAAACCATTTGCTGTAATAAATTGTTTAATTTCTCGGCCATCTGCTCCTTGGAAGCTTTCTTTTTCTGAGCTATTTCGTCGGAATCGGATGAACTCTCGCTGCTGCTGCTGCTACTGCTCGATGGGGGATTATTCGTGCTTTTCTGACAAAAAATCGTCTTGGAACACGTTAGGTTTATTCGTAAAAATGTACTTTGCGATGATGGCAGTTTTCTAAAAATGTTAAGAGGAGCATGTTAATGATAAATTATGTTTAATATTTCTTATTACCTTAAAATAACTTGTGTAATGTTCATTTTTTAAAAAATACCAAAAAGACCAACGATTTCAAAATTAAGTTAGGTTATGTCATTCAAATTTTGACACATTTGGGTGTTTTTATTCTATAGCAACTTTCGCCTGTGTTGCCAAGATGTTAGTGAAGTCCTCAAACTGATCTATATAAATTAATATTTTTATAAATATGAAACAAATTGAACCATTATATTATATTTTTATTAGATTTATCATGATTTTGTAATGGTTCAATTTGTTTCATTGCAATAAGACTATATGTAGAAAACATCATGTTTACACATAGTGCTCGAAGCTTTCATCGAACAAATTTTGTATCGAAGAGGCAACAAATTCTTGTTTACTCTTGTGTTGTTTTGGGGGTTGGAAATTGTTAAAAATCTACAAAAACGTAATTAGTAGGGCACAGAATCTTGTTAAATGTGTTTTTTTTATTGATTTCAAAGCAAATTGCTGAAATAAAAGCAAAAAACCTTGGCCATTACACTGACTAAGAAAATGTCTTGTAGAAGTGATATGTTCTTGTTTTGGGGCTTTGAAAGTGATAAAAAACTACAAATACATAATTTGTACAGCACAGAATCATGTTAAATGAGGTTTTGTATTGATTTCAAAGCAAAATTGGTGAAATAAAAGCAAAAAATCTTGGCCATTACATTGACTTAGAAAATGTCTTGTAGAAGTTATAAATAGGGGTATTACTACCTTGTTTTATAATTTATAGATGTAATAAGTCTCTATTTAACTAAATATTACATTATTTCGGAAAATATCGAATAACAAAGCTATATTAATTGAAGATTCTGAAGGCTACCGAACCGCCACCATATTTTTGAATTTTATTTTAATTTATATGGGTTTAATAGGTCTGAAACTGCTTAATTAACTATATTTAATGATAATCTATAATTCCTTAACTATTTTAAAGCTTCAAAGTCTTTTTTAAGGCAAAAATCTATTTTTTATGATATTAACAATTAGGGACATTGGGGTAATTAAAATGCGATATCTTTGTGAATTTTGATTTATTCGTTTATTGTTTGGTGTCATTTTATTCGGAAAACACGTAGCTACATTTCCCTGGCAGTAGTTTTGTCTCCAATATAGCGCTATATTGCTAAATTTTCATTTAAACTTGAAATTTAAGTCATAAAATTACATAATTTTCCATCGGCAAAACAGAAGAAAAACGCCAGTTGACGCTCCCCCTAGCGTCAAAAATCAGGAACCGAGCGCCAAAACTCGATATTATTGGTCGTTTCGGTCGATCTACGTCATTTCTGGACGGACCGTTAACGATGTAGCATCTATGTCGGTTGCGTCTCCAGAATTTTTAGGAAAAAGTGCCTTTTTCTTGTATATTGTGCTCGGAAAGCATGTGTAGTGCATAGCTGGACTCTCAGAAAGGGTAAGTTCTACCATTTTCCTACGAATTTTGCGATATTTTTCGAAAATTCCGACCATCTAAAGGCGACCGGTAGAAGGCGTAGAAGCGCAAGATCAACAAAAAAAGTCAAAGCCACCTTTTTTTTGTTAAACATTCCGTTTCTTTCTGTTTGCTTTTTTATACTTTCTGTTGCTATAAATAGATCTTTTTTATGGTTGTATTGTATTAAAATAAATCATTTTCAGACTTAAATAGTTTGATGAATATAGTATTTTAGAAATAAACACCATAAGTGAATAAATTATAGTCATTCAATTTTCTGAAGAATATTTCTAATAGTAGTGTACTTGATATGGTTTTTCTTAAAGATATTATGTAATAGAAGAATATTTATGTAATAAATATTTTATAAAATAATCTAAATATAGTTTAGGAACCTGTAAAACACAGAAAAATTACATCTGCCTGTATTTATATTAAATAATATTTAGAAACTTAATATAAGGTAATAATTAGTACTTAATATTGTAGGTATAATTGTTAGTTATTGATAGTTTTTCTGAAGCTAGTAGATTTTCTTTGCTAATTCATTAATTTTATTTATTTCTTAGAGACTTTTTCCTTAGGTTTTTATGTTTCTAGACTATGTAACTAAAAGATATTTTGTCTTGTTTCAGATTATCCAGGGCTACAGATATACAAGGACCACGCTGCCAGTGAAGAAGGAGGGGACGAATATCAACACAGCAAGAGATCTTCAAGTCGCAAAGAAACCAGGCTGCCTTTGGAGGGAATGGAACAAGGATCGGTATGGGTCTGGACACGTCATATAGCTCAGGTCGTACCTGAGCTCGGGCGCTGTATCCAGACGTGCTGCACTCCGGGAGTGAATGTGCGCCTTTACACATTTTGCTCGGTCTCGGTACAATCGCGGGTAGGGCCCAGCTGGACTCGAGTGATGGTAAGTACGACCATTTTCCTCTGAATTTCCTGATATTTTTCGACAAATCGGACCCTCAAGTGGCTGGTTTGAAAGCAATTCTATTGGCTGAATGTAACGTCATTTCTTTTCCGATTGGTCGAAATTTTATCAGGCAGTGTATAAAAGTTTTGCTTTTTTTATAATTTCTGCTTACTATATAAAAAGATGTAATTTATTGTGGATTGACAGTTTTCTAAATTTGATGTTTTTATGGTTGTACAGGATATCTATGTATTAAAATAAATAATTTTTTTAGACTTAGATACCTTGATGGTATATACCTATAGTATTTTAAAAATAAAAGCCTTATAAGTATGTGTAAGTGCTAATAGTTCTAATAGTAGTGCATTTGATATGGTTTTTCTTATATATTATATAATAGGGGAATACTTATGTATTACATCTTTTATAAATTATAAAATAATCTAAATAAAGTTTAGAAAGCTGTAAAACACATAGTTGGCATCTGCCTGTAGCTGCTTTAATGTAATTAGTGAAATATTTAATGAAGAATATAACTAGTGAATTTTATATTGATAATCAGCTGATTTTTTTCTTGAAACTGATCTAAACCCGAAAAATAAAAATACCGGATCCTTGTTTTTTAAGTTTGTGAAATATTTCTCTATAGTCTATGTTATTAATTGTGCATTGATTATTTTTTTCTAAATATATTTGCATTCATTTTATTAAAGCATTTGTTAGATGTTGTTTTTTTTGCAAAAGATGCATTTAAACAAAATAATATTTAGAAAATTAATATAGGTAGTTTATTGCTATTGATAGTGTTTTTGAAGCCAGTAAATTTTGCTTGCTAATTCATTGATTTTATTTATTTCTTAGAGACTATAATATATGTGCTTGGGGTTGATAAACTATAATATCTTTTTGTTGCTTCTGGCAAGATTTTCAAATAATTTTCTGATATTTTATTAACTTTTCACCCACTACTAATCTCTACAGAAATATATGTATATATATATTTTTATTTTCTTTTTTTAATATTTGCGAAAAAAATTTTAAGGGATATTATCAGCTGTTTTTTTTTATAATGGTACGTTATTGTAATAATTTTATTCATACTCTGTTACACTGTGTCTCTATCACTTTTATCTATTTTATCTATCTATCTATATTTATTTTTTAAATACTTTTTTTTTAAATAGCTATTGAAATTTCTTGGCAACAATTTTTTAGTACCTATAGATATATAGGGTGAACCAAAATTACAATATTATTTGCCCACTTTCAAATATGTATATATTTTTATTTCCTTTTATTAATATTTGCCAAGAAATCTTTAAGGGATATTATCAGCTGATTTTTTTTAATAATGGTACTTTATTGTGATATTTTATTCATACTCTGTTACACTTTGTCTCTATCACTTTTATCTGTTTTATCTATCTATTTATTTTTTAAATACTTTTTTTTTAAATAGCTATTGAAATTTCTTGGTAACAGTTTTTTAGTACCTATATAGGGTGTAGTTTAGTAGATATATAGGGTGAACCAAAATTACAATATTATTCACCCACTCTTTCAAAAACAGACACACTTAAGATTTTCAAATATCTACATATATAAAATGCTAATGTTTATCTGTGTCATCTCTACTGAAGTATCGACTTGCTCTAGAAAGTTGCCTTTTTTTACTAAAAGATAGCTAATTGGCTCTTCTAAAAACTGTCGTCGCCGGATTTTTTGTTTTTCATTTAATTAAAAAAAAAATAAAAAGTATTTTTTTTCTTGATGTTGTGGCGGATGCGCCAGGCTTCAACTAGTTTAATGATATTTTACTATTTCTTGGTCCATTACTAATTTTCTACAGAAATATATTTTATATATTTTTGTTTTCTTTTTTGGACATTTGGTACAGAAATTTTTGAAGAAAAACCTATTAGCTGTTTTCAATGATGTAATTTCATTAGGTTTTCCTAAAATAATGCTACTTTCGAGGCTACTTTATTGTAATTTTATTTTTATTATACTATTTCTTAATGACATCTACATAATATATTTTTTAAATAATTTTTCACCCACTCTTTCAAGAACAGATACACTAAGATTTTCAAATATTTAATGAGATTTTACTATTTCTTCGTCCAATACTAATTTCTGCAGAAATATATTTTATATATTTTTGATTTCTTTTTTGGACATTATTTGGTATAGAATTTTTTAAGAAAAAACTATTAGCTGTTTTCAATGATATTGTTTTTCCTAAAATAATGTTACTTTCCAGGCTACTTTATTGTAATTTTATTTTTATTATACTCTTTCTTAATGACTTCTATATAATATATTTTTTAAGTATTTTTTATTAAATAGATATTTAAATTTCTTGGTCACAATTTTTATTAGCATTCATAGGATCATAGGTATATAGGGTGAACCAAATCATAATAGATACTATTCACTTCCTTTTTCAAAAACAGATCACACGAAAATTTTGAAATATTTTACTGGTGCTTTATTAATTTTTCGTATTCACTACTAATCTCTACAGAAATATGTATATATTTTTATTTTCTTTTTTTACTATTTGCCAAGAAATTTTTAGGGATATTATCAGCTGTTTTTTTTTAATAATGGTACTTTATTGTAATATTTTATTTATACTCTGTTACACTCTGTCTCTATGACTTTTATCTGTCTTATCTATCTATATTTATTTTTTACATATTTTTTTATTAAATAGCTATTGAAA